GGGGGGGCCAATAAAAAAAAAAAAATAAAAAGGGAGTCCCTGAAAAAAAGCTTTAAAAAAAAAAAAAAAAAAAAAAAAAAAAACGAAACAATGCCAAAACGCATTTAACGCTTCCCTCTGCATCGAAACATAATAGATGGCGGAGAGAGACATTCATTCTGGATTGATGTATAATAAAGCGTCAGAGGTGCGAGTAGTATTAAAACCCTGGCAATGAACATGATATTAAAGCTGAAAATAAAAGCAAACAGAGGCAAAACACAGATTAAACGAAGCTCAAAAGCACTGTTGAGATAGAATGAGCATCTGGTGATCGCTCCAAATATTCTCAATGAGAGAAGAACAGGGCCAGTGATTCAGAGTCTGCTTTCTCCCGGAGCATGAAAGAGGTTGACTTTCACATTACGTCCAGTCTTCCTGGGCGTTTCATCTCTCAGTCCGAGATGATTGTCTTCAGCGTTGTCATCGAGCTCGCTGTCATCGTCGTCTCGCTCCAGCGTGTGCCAGTCACGTTTGAGTGGGGTGAGCTCTGGAGCAATTATATCTCCATCCTGAAACACATTCATGTGCACACCAGTGTTACTGCGAGCCGGATAAGGGCTAGAGAACACATGAGATATCCTCAAGAACTCTGGGAACACTGGAGCCAACTGACTCTCACTGACAGAAAACAAAACACTGATAACTACCAAAAACCAGTTGAGAAATCACCCGTTTCACTGACTGACATGCACACACTGTTCTGATTATAGTGATTACAATAACTGGGGAATATAACAAGGTACTAAACCCTGAACCTACTCTTTACCCCCAAACCTTACCCATGAAGTTACATTATATTAGCCAGTACTATCTTAGGTAAGTACACTATTTTACAGTATGTGTAATTACAAAGTGCAACCTGCATCACGAGAAAACCACATTTACAAGAACTGAAAAAAAAAAACAGTTTTCCTCCTCAATACTGCAAAGGAAAACGGGTTAATGCATTTACACAACCGCAGACATTGATAGCTTATTTTAAGTCCTACCGTTTTCAAACAACACATGGATGAGTAAATGATGACCATTTTCATTTTGGGGTGGAGTATCCGTTTAACCTTTAATGAACAAGTATTTTTAACAAGATATGTTTATGGTTAGGGTTGGGTATCGTTTGAATTTTATCGATTCCGATTCAAGTTCATGTTCAAGTTCAAGGTGCTTTATTGGCATGACATTTGTGTTACAGTATTGCCAAAGCATTTTAGATGTGTACAATACAGAATTAAATACAGTAATAATAATAATTCAATACAGATTCCAATGTGATTAGATAATGGTATCAAACATTTATCCTGTGTCTCTTTTTTGCAAACCATTTATTGGAGCTGAATACCATGAACCAAAATCAACAGGCTACATAAGAACTGGACTCTTTAAGAGCTGTTTGTGTGCAAAATAGAGCTGCATGATTCTGGATAAATTGAGTTTTTTCCCCGATGGAAGTTGTGGTTCTCTTATGATTCTGAAGAAAAAACATTAGACAACTAAACAAAATCACATCTAATTTATGAATGAGTGACTCTCAAGATGTACTTGTTTCATTACTGGATGAATCAGTGTTCACGAACGAATCTCTTGTATGATTCAAAGACAAATACATTTTAAAAGCCCCTTCTCGCCACCTACTGGCATAATGTAATCCATAAATCTTCATTTGAAGCATCAAATTACTTTCAAAAGGTGATTTATTCTATTTTAATCGCTACCATACACATCGTACACACAGTTTATATCTGAATATAAACTTTTATCCCGGTACTCCTGTGATTTGAGTGTTTGTAAGAGAAATAATGATACTGTGTGGCTGAAAAGACTGAGGCCGTTTCATTCGTGACAGACAGCTGCTCTCTTCAGGTCAGCGCAGCGCAGCGTGAACGCAGATTTAAATGTTTAAATCACACTGGTGTGATCGTACGCTGCACGGAAGAACCACGTGATCACAACATTGATCGCACGCGTCAAAGCTTGAGGAATGAATCAGACGAATCACTGTAATTTAGGAACAGAATCACGTTGGTGTTATGCGGAATACATTTTTAATTTGACAACAAGTATCCAATTCTGGCATCTGAATTTATTTTTGATTCCCAACCCTATTTATGGTTCACAAACTTTCAATCTTTTTTCAAAACTTCTCCCGTCAATCTAACATTTCTTATTCATTTCTATGAAATCACAACTTCCATCACAATCAGGGGTGCGTTTCCCAAAAGCACTGTTTGCTAACTATGGTTGTAAGTTCCATTGAACTCTATTGGTAACGACGGAACCATAGTTGCTTTGATCGAGCCATGTTTCAAGATGGCGCCTGTGTATTCGGCATGCCATCTGTTGCTCTCAAAAAGCTACACGCTTTTAATCTACGACCGTCAAGCACTCTTGGACATCCGCAACTCAGTTGCGGACACATTCACCAGCTCTTACACTTTGGATGTGGACTGCTCCTTTGGCAATAGGAATGAGTCGTTCCAGGCGGTTATTCCGGATTGTATCTGCCGGTGGCCCCTCGGCATCCTGCGGAGAAAGCGAAGGAGGAAACTAGGCAAACGCGGAGGATACATCGTGAAGCTTAAAGCTCATCTGCGGGCTGGCTTTCTCTCGGATCCTTCCCACGGGTCGTTTTGCGGCGGCTCTGCTGCCTGGCGCCCGCTGGATTTGGCCCACCGGTGGCTTCGTCCTGTTCTCCCCTGGCACCCGAGTCCTGGTTCTCGTGCCAGTCTCCACCGAATCAGCCTCGGCTCCCGACGACGGGGAGTAACTTATGGAAATCGGCGCTCGCTGAAATGAGCGTCCTCATCTACTGATATAATTTCTTCACTGAAGATGGCATTATTAAATGCCCGTTCCTTGGTGAATAAGACCTTATTAAATGATTTTTACTTCTCACAACTTGGATTTTATGTTTCTCACGGAATCCTGGATAAAGGTTTGAGATCTAACTCCTTTTTCTGATCTGATCCCTGCTGACTGTATCTGATCCCTTGTTCGAGTGGACATGGGGGGTGGGATAGTAACAATTTTAAAGAACTCTCTCTCTGCACTCTGTCGATTGGACCCTGTAACGGCCTTTTCCAGCTTTGAAGCTCAGCTTATTCACTTAGCCTGGAATGGTCCTGTATGTCTAGGGGTGTTTTACCGTCCTCCGCACTCTACTAAGGATTTTATACAGCATTTCACTGAACTGATCGGCAATATTGCCACAAATTACGATCGCTTTCTATTGGTGGGCAACTTTATTATCCATGTCTGCTGTCCATCTAACCTCTTATCACATAACTTTCTTAATCTCATCAACGCTTTTAATCTATCCCAGTGGATCAATGTCTCTACTCATATTCAGGGACATACGTTGGATCTTGTACTCTCATATGGGCTTGATGTGACTGATATTGTGCTCTCAGATTTGATGATCTCTGACCATAAGTCTATATTATTCTCACTGTCTCTTCCAGATCTCTCTCATTTTTCTAATACACCTGTAAATCTTTCTCGTTTCTACTCGCCACAGTTCAGCACAAATTTCAACTTGTGCTTTGCTGAATGTTGCTCACAGTTGCACTTGGATCAACCATAATCTGACTTGGATGCTGATCAACATCTTAGCCTTGTGAATTCTGCCTGGCTTAAGGTAGCAAATGCAACTGCCCCCCTTAAGCCTCACAAGCAAACACCAAAATCTGTACTGTGGCAAAACTCTGATACCCTTCTCCTAAGACAAAACTGTAGAAAGGCAGAATGTAAATGGAAGAAGGACAGGCTGCATATCTCTCTTCAAATGTTCAGAGACTCTCTTACATCTTACCAGACTTCAGCGAAGTCTGCGAAAGCTGGATACTTTTCTAATCTAATTGAAACGAATCATTCTAAACCCAACGTTTTGTTTTCAATTATTCAATCGGTTACAAATCCTTCAGTTAACACCTTGCCTGTTGCCTCTGATGCTCTCTGTGAAAGCTTCTTGAGATATTTTAGTGACAAAATTATTAACTTAAGGCTTAGCGTCCGCCCCACTTTAACTTTAACTGTCACTCCAATTATGTCATCTGCCTCTGCATTTTTGGATGTTTTTGAACCTATCAACCTCCAGGAATTGAAGCAAGTGATTGACAAGCTTAAACCATTCTGTTGTCTCGATATCATTCACCCGAGATTTTTAAAATTAATTATCGATTCGATTGGGCCAGGTTTGGTGTCTCTTATTAATAAGTGTCTCCAAACTGGCTCTGTTCCGGCCAATCTTAAAGTCGCTACGGTCACTCCTCTGCTCAAGAAGCTTTCACTGGATCCTTCTGTCCTAAAACATTTTCGGCCTATTTCTGTTTTACCTTTCATTTCAAAAGTTTTGGAGAAAATTGTGCTGAACCGAGTCCGCCCTTTTGAGAGTGTTAAATGATATTTACCTCTCTACTGATTCCGGAGACTCTGTGGTTCTTATTCTTTTAGATCTATCGGCTGCTTTTGATACCATACACCAGTGTTTCCCAACCTTTTTTTAGTCGCGGCACCCTTTGGAAATTTTAACAAACTTGTGGCACCCTACAAAATTAATTTTGTCACAATATTTGGATTTCTAACTTCGATGTGATAATTTGAAAAGTATAGATATCCGGTACAACAGGGAAGAACTGCAGAATATAAATTCATACAGATATTTTTAATATTATTTAAAAAAAATTGTCCATCAATGGTGGCAATCAGTAGGCTAATTTCTATTGAAGAGACCAATTTATATGACAGATTTTAATGTAGCCTTTTATACATATGCAAATATTTAATTACCATTATAACTAGCTATCTCACAAATTTTTGCTCACTCAGTGTTTTTTTTTTATTTTACAGTGTGGTAATTTTGGTGCAGTAGCACGAGATTTTTTCAAACTTTGAATTGAATAAAAAATGACAAGTAAGCAGTCAGTAATAAAATAAGAACAAATAAAGAAATTAATAATGATAGCACAAATAAAAAATAATGACAGGCCTTTGAATTAAATAATCTGCTTTTTAGTTTTTCAGGTAGGTCTAACAGTAGGGTTCAGATATTTAACTTTTTTTTTTTTTTACCAATTATCCAAATAATGTTTAGTCCTAGAAAGCTATTATTATCAGAACACGTGAGCATAACATAGCGGTTAGCAGATCAATGAATGAGAGGGCAGCGTTACCAGAGTTGCTCATATACCACACCATGTTACAGCACAGTAGGGCTATTGCAGACAGAAACAATACTGTACTACATCCATGTTTCCTGTCGGCTCAGTGTTTGAGTGGACTTTGCTGTTCCGATGAGCATGAACGGTATACGAGTGGAGCGACTGAGCGGAGCGCGCACACACATAGAGTGGATAATACCCAGAGCGTCACACCACGTGAAAGTGAATCCTGAGCGGTGAACTCATTTTCGTCAGTTTCGGGGCTTCTCTAATTACTGGCAACATCAGAAATGGATATTATATAATAGATGGTTTTTTTTTTTTTTTTACATTTTAGCAATTTAAAAATATTTGAAAAATATTCTTTTTTTACACAGCACCCCTGCTCTCGACAGACGGCACCCCGGTTGGGAAACACTGCCATAGACCACTCCTCACTATTATCTAGATTAGAGTCTTGGGTAGGTCTAAAAGCAATCGTTCTGAAATGGTTTCAGTCATACCTGTCTGACAGAAAGTTTTTAGTGAAGTTGGGTAAGCTTTCCTCCTCCCCTGCTCCTCTGACCTGTGGCCTACCGCAAGGCTCTATTTTAGCTCCCTCTCTATTCTCTCTTTACATGTTAAAACATGGTGTGTCTTTTCGTTTCTACACAAATGACACTCAAATCTATCTACCAATCAAGAAAAACAATTCCGCGGCGATTACTTATCTTCTGAAATGTTTAGAGGAGGTTAAATCATGGCTAGCCCAAAATTTCCTCTTCCTAAATGAAGACAAGACCAAGAAAATTGTTTTCGGTCCAAATGATAACTCTCAGTGTATAAGCCCCGAGTTAGAAAGTTTATCCATTTTTTTTAGATCCTCGCGGGTGCGGAACCTAGGCATTCTAGTCGACCAGCATTTAAAATTTGGTAAACATATCTCTTCTGTCATTGGGTCCAGTTTCTATCAGCTTCGTTTACTGTCTAAAATTAAAAACTTTCTCACTCCTAAAACTCTAGAAATGGCTGTTCATGCGTTCCGTTACATCTCGTCAAGATTACTGCAATTCTTTATACTGCGATAGATCTAAATCTCAAATTGCGCGTCTTCAGCTTGTCCAAAATGCAAGCCAGACTTCTTTTAAAATGTCGTAAACATGAACACATCACTCCAATTCTTAGATCTCTACACTGGTTGCCGGTTTGTCAGAGAATGGACTTTAAAATTCTCCTCTTTGTATATAAATCCCTACATAACCAAGCTCCTGTCTATCTATCTGACCTTCTTTACTTCTATACTCCGTCTAGAAGCCTACGATCGTGCGTGCATTTGCGGTGGCAGAGCCACGACACTGGAATACCCTACCTTTAGAGATTAGAATGGCCCCTTCTTTGTCTGTTTTTAAGTCCTTGCTAAAAACTTATTTGTTTTCCTTAGTGTATTGACTACTGTGATATGGCCATTTTTAAAACGTGCGGTTTTAAATTTTTTGTCTGGTTTGTTCTCTGTGTATGTGGTAAAATTGTTGCTCCTCTGAAAAGCACTTTGGTCAGCCTGGTGGCTGTTGTATGTGTGTCTCTACAAATAAAATGAACTTGAACTTGAGTTGCTTTTGGGAAACGCACCCCAGCACGTGTCTTGTTTTCCAATATATGCACTGTGCTTGTGATTTCGGTCTGTACACTTTGTGGTCAGTCTCAATTGATCATTTCAATATAATTACTAAATTAAAAATAATGTCTGAAATATATCGAACAAATCCATCACTCAAAGTACCAAGTATGTTTGAAAATAACACTGAAATTTGAATTATTACAAAACTGCAGATGCCAAGTCTTGCCTGAGGTTTGGTGAAGTTCCTGTCCATGCACCACTGGACGAAGTACTTCTTAGCAGCTTCTAGGCTCTTGTCATCCGTCTTCTTACAGTAAACCCTGATCAGCTGCTCGGCGAAGCGCTCCGGCAGCAGTTTGGACACCTGTTACACCACACACACATCAGGAACACAGGCTCTGTGTTTGTCTGGAGCATATCTTATTTTGCACTAGAAGCAATACAATCTAAACACGCATACTCTCTCCAATAGGGAAATTAATCCATAATCAACATTCTAGGCCTTTGTTTGTGTTTGGGGGGGCCATATGACAGAATCAAATTTTCCTGTTGTGATAATTGCTGAAGCGCGCCTATCACGGTATACAGTCCCGCTATTGAAATAAGCTGCAAAAGGGCATTATAACGGGGTTTTTTTCTTTTCACAAAAACAACTTAAGAAGATTAGAGTGCAATAGGTAACACTTTACAATAAAGTCTCATTAGTAAATGTTAACTCATGCATTAACTAACCAGAAGCTATGATGTTAATGTTAGTTACACATCAGCACATGTCTAGTTGAAATCTTCTCTGGCCAGAGGCTGAAACACTGGTAAACTGCTGGCTGATAGTCGCAGCACAGGCAGATCCATCGTCTGGAGCGTACCTGTTTTTTGCGGATCTTGATGGCTTTGGTGGGATCTTTCTTGCAGTAGAAGTGGACATTGTTAATGGGGTTTTTCTCCTTCATTCCATAATCCATGTGAATGACCTAGAGAACAAAAGAGGACAGTTTACATAATATAAGCAGAATGATCTTAAACAGCTATTGGCTGATTCTTTAACTATTCGGAATCATTGATGAATGGGATGATTTCACAATCTGAGCTGTTGGGTTGAAATTCATGGGAAGTGTCAGTTTTCATGTCATCTGACTGCGTGGTTGTGCTATTAACATCTGTAAGCAGAAGCAGCTCTGACTATTATAGGGGTGTTGTAGCTGTTAAAACGAAACACAGCAAACGTACACGAACTACAAAGTCCTCCGCTGTCAGGTTGGCGTCTGTGCCGCTGGGCTTTGAACCGGCGACCTCCTTTGCCCAGTCAAGCAGCTTCTCCTGCAAGAGACTTCACTTATTTAATCAGCCACTCAGTTACCTACAATTATCTTGGCTCCTTCTTTATCAGCTGAATCTACGACCTTTCTCCTATAATGGGTCATAAATTCACTCCAAACCCATAAGACTTTTGTTCATCTTCAAAACACTCAAGAACACTTTTAAAGTCCTCTCATCACTCATGTCCATCCACTGAAAGTCAGCTTTATTTGTGTGTGTTTGTGGTTCACCGGTGAGGCGTCCAGGTGCATCTCTGGCGTGGTCTGACCCACACACTTGTACAGCCGTCTGCAGACGATGTTGTGCAGGATGGCTCGTGCCTCAGACAGCTCCGGCGCAGACGAGTACAGAATCAGCTCAAATATGTGATCTGAAACATGACACACAACCCTCATTTCATCCCTGTAACATTTAAACATATGCTTTCTGACCCTGCAATAAAGGACTTTGATCATTTATATGGTGGTGTGTGAATATATTCACATAGCACAGCACTGAAACTTTGACTAAAGCATGATGTCTGAGTGCATTACTCGGTACGAAAGACCTCACTGTGGCGCTCACAAGCACAGACAGCATGCCATCCCCAATTCAGTTGTCTTTCAACGGTCAAATACACACTAATCATGTCAAAATGCCCCTCGCGTGGAGTACGGACATAAACACAGTCGACGTGTCTTTACTGAATGTAAATAACTGAGAGAAAACCAGAAGCACACAGGATCGAGACGCACCTGTGAGTTTGGTGTAGGCCTCCATGTCGTCTATAGCTGAAGAGATGCTGAAGATCCTCCCAGAAGAGCCCAGGATCTGAATATGAGGATCAGCTTTTACAAAAGCCTCCGTTATCCTGATATGAAACAACCAGGACAGAACACTTCAATCGCACTGAAGCTGTGAACAGGACAATGTGTGGTTCAGTGAGGAGAATACACACATGGTCTCGATGATGTTGCCCACTTTGTGCTGATACGCCCGGCGATGGAGGCAGTTACGAGTGTGGAACATGTCGTAGAGATTGCCAACTTCCTGCCAACAGTAAAACAATCCAAAATGCTAAATCAGAAAGGCTTTTCATTTCTTTAACATTCTGACTGATACAGAAGCACTTCTGAACCGGATCAAACGTGCTCAAAAATAAAAGACTCTGGGTGGCTTTGCACAGAGAAGCTGTCGAGCCATTGGAGGTCATGCGCTCCTTTATTTTCCTAATAACCTGGATTAACATTACAATGAGCAAAGAAACCAATCAATGTGCTGGTTGCTTTGGGAGATTTGACAGCATATGCTGCAGCTCTGTGTTTATGTCCATCAGCATAGTTTTCCCAGCGGTGTACATATTCTGTACTGTTCTGATGTTTCGTTCTATGGTCTAAGTTTGATGCATGCACAGTCTGTATATCGTGTGCCTCTCAAGAAATCACAGCTTGTCATAAGCAGCATCAACTAAGACTTCATGACTGTCAATCCAAATTCAGCTGCAAGCAGCTCTAAAGAGACAACAGGCTCATTATTCAGCTCAGTTCAGTTCAGGCTTTATTCTCAGATGAACGTGTCAGTGCTTTTGATAATTATTACTCAATATAAACCCCAACTAAGCAAGTCAAAGGTTACGGAGTGATAAAGAGTGATAGAGAAACATGGATGAATGAGAAAATAATGAGCTAGGCCTGAGAGCCCAAAGGTTTTAAAATAACTATGCAGCAAAATCACTGCCAACAGACACGTTATACTGTTGTCACGATTAGGGATGCAACGATTATAGATTTTGTTGGTACGATTATTGTCCGAGGAATAATCACGGTTTTACGATTATGACGATTATGCATTTATTCATTTTTCTCAACATTACTAATGTATACAATCACATGAACACTCTTTAGATATTAAAGTGTTATTTATTGCTGGCTTTTGAAACAGAAATAACTCAGTAACCAACAATACAGCAAAAAATTATAATAAAAAAGACAAACAAAAGTCCATCTCTCCCATTGGAATTAAAAAAAGGTGACCTCTGTGCATCCCTAATCACGATATGTACTGCCACCATGTAGTCCAGGAGCACTGCTGTACGCTGGCAGTAAGACTCGACGGCACGCTTCCTCTGCTGTAAACTCACCTCAACCAAACGCCAGATTACACGTTATACCATCTCGCTCAGGCCTACTGGAGCATTTCCCAAAGCTGTTCGGCCAATATTACTACGGTTTCAACTGAGGGTGCTCTCACTCACATTCCACTGCGTCAGAGAATGATGTGAAATGATGAACAACTAGTTTAAATGTGCATCAGAGTTGTGTCTCTCTTCTGTATGGGTGCGTGCAAGAAAACCACAGAGTATGTTCTGACTCATTAGTGGTGCCAGATCTTGCCAGAAAAACAACAATAAAAAAAAAAGAACAAGCACAAACTCAAATCCAAACGCGCTCTCTTAAAAACAAGCCACATACCACAATATAGCAACCTGCAGCTGTCTACTTGAATAACTCCATGAACGATCACTTTATGAGCAACAAGCCCAAACACAAGATGCTTAATTAGCATCTCTGATAATGGCTTCATCTCTATTTTATCGACATACAGTAGTTTGATTATGAGGACATCTGAAAATCATCTGATTTGTTCATCAGCCATGCTTTAGTATAACTGCTAAGATACAGTTAACATGCACAGTTGCTCTGACAGATACATGTGCAGACAGTTAGGCTACTCGTGCGGTTTAATACGCTTGAGATCCAGTGCTTTCCTCAGCGCATAACTCATGTTCTCCACCTGTAAATGTTAGAGAGTCATGGAAACATGTCCATTCTGCTGTCAGGAGTGCATGAGCCTTCACTTCAGTCAACGAGCACCAAACAGACGGAGAGCAATAAAACAGGACCACAATAATTCGGACTAAAATATATATGTTTTCCTAAAATATTTGTTGCTGGGCAATAAATGTGCCGTGTGTAGAATTTTAAACCTACAATAAGTGTGTTTTTAAGAGAGCAGTAACTATCATATATACTGCAATTATTCTGTGCTTTTGTTATTATTTATATTCACTTTTAGTTTAGTGAATTTAACTTCTGCTTTAAAATAGCATTATTTTGTTTTTAGATTGTAATGTTGCTACAATGCGAGACAATTTTTAAAAATAAAAACTGATTTTTAAATTACGTAATTTTTTTTTATCCAAACAGAAAACTGTAGAAAACAGACACATGTATACCTAATTTTGCAATTCAGCCAAAAAATTATTATTTTTTTAGGCATATCACCCAGCTCCATGTACAACACCCAAAGTACCAGTTACTTATTTATTTCTACCGACAATATGTTTTCTGTCCAGTTTTAGCTTGATAAAAACACATTTTATATACATTTAATTAATTAGGTCAACCAGAACCGGGAACACTTCTCATAACACCCGATGTACTTGCTACATCGCTAGAAGAATGGCATCTACCCTAATATTAGTCTGTTTCTCTCTTATTTCGAGGTCACCGTAGCCACCAGATCCAGTCTGTATCCAGATCAGATGGTCACTGCAGTCACCCGGATCCAATACGTATTCAGACCAGATGGTGGATCAGCACCTAGAGAGGACCTCTACAGCTCTGAAAGTCAGCAGAGACCAGGACAACTAGATGAGCTCCAGAGACAGATCCCCTGTAAAGACCTTGTCTCAGACGACCACCGGGACAAGACCACAGGAACCAGTCGAGTCCTCTGCACAATGTGACTTTGCTGCAGCCTGGAATTGAACTGCTGGTTCGTCTGGTCAGAGGAGAACTGGCGCCCAGACTGAGCCTGGTTTCTCCCAATGTTTTTTCTCAATTCTGTCACCGATGGAGTTTTGGTTCCTTGCCGCGGTTGCCTCTGTCTTGCTTAGTTGGGGACACTTCATTTCCAGCGATATCGTTGACTTGATTGCACAGAGACCATTTAAACTGAACTGAGCTGGATGTTGACATCACTGAATTCAATGATGAACTGTCTTTAACTGAAAAATGAGTGTTTACTATTGTCACTTTGCATTATTGACACTATTTTCCTAATTAATGCTGTACAGTTGCTTTGACACAATCTGTATTGTTAAAAGCACTATATAAATAAAGGTGACTTGACAAAACCATCGCATGTTTCACATCAAATAATTTGTGCTGTCACTGTGCTGTCGTTTCTGAATCACAGCCTGACTCTGTTGAATGCATGTATCTTTTGGTTTAAACTGTTATAATAAAGTCAAAAAGGAACGAGCACTGTACAATAAACTAAATCAATGAATACACACACAGTCAGTAGAACAACTGCAAAATGTACCTTGTCTCTGGTGCAGATGTGCTTCTTTCCTCTCACTTCACACACTCGTGCAAATTTGAGGAAGCGCTGGTAGTCGAAGTTGTTCTGAATGCCGAGATGATAGCAATCACTGTCCAAAAGAACACACTTTCAGTTAGCAACGCTGAAAACATCATCATTAGCATCATTAGCTTGGTGCAAATCATCTTACCGAGCAAAATAATCCCACTTATCCACATCTATGCCATTTCTTTTGTTTGCTACGATCTCATACAGGAACGATTTCTCCATCGGCCTGCCCTTATATGGCCACTGCAGGGTTAAAAGAAAAAATGCTGCATGTTACTTTGAGTAGAGCAGAAGAGTCACTAACCTTTCGGGAAAGACTAAAAGTAATCCACACAGCTGCAGTGGTTTCTGAAGCGATGAGGGGGTGAAGAGAGCCCAAATCAAATACAGTGAAAACCACAAGCAATGAAGCTGGATTTTGACTTTCACTTCAGTCTGTTCTTCATATCAAGTGAGCACATGGCTTCAGCAGTCTTGCATTAAACCAGTGCAAGGTTGTACTTGTAAGCTTTACAGTATGGACAAACACAGTGCTCCGCAGAACAAGGAACCGGAGTCAATGACGCAACTGTTGGTATAAAGGCTTTGTCAGCTTATTTCCCACAATAACACTTTATAAAACAGTTTCCATGGAAATAGTGGGTTGGGAAAGTTGTATCAAAGTTATAGTCACATTATTTAGTCCTTGAATTTGTCTTGAACAGCAACAACAACAACACAGCTCTTCAGAAACAAGTATGTGATGTTGATGTCAAGCGATGGTTTGTCATACATGTGTTTTAAACGAGGCAGCAGCCGTACGCACCGAGCTGTTTAAGACGGAGCTATCCAGCGGCCCGGCGATCTGCTCCTTAATGAACACCAGGTCGTCAGGAAGAGTCAGCCCGTGGCGCTCCATGACCTCCTCCAGACCGTTCACTCTCACCAGGTGGTCAAACATCTGAACCGAGGCCATCTCGTGCTGCACAGCAGAGATCAAACCTGTCAGTTAGCGTTACTGGCGGATCAGATCTACAGGCGAACATGATGAATCCCACACCACAGAGCTACAGGAACAGATGTTTCTGTCATCTCCACACACAGAGCAGTCTCTTTCCTCTCAGCAAGATGATTCCAGCTCTCAGACCCTTGAGGACTACTAACGGTGCACAGACTAACACAACAAGCTGAGAAACGGGCCTATCGCATGCATGGTTTTACACTGGGGATGGTTTTAACACACGTACCTTCCATTTCTCTCCAGGTCGAACTTTAGGGATGAACATGCCATCAAACATATGAGAAAACGGGCCATGACCTGAACAAAAGACAAAAGGCTATTTTAAAGAATGAAGATGCAAACCCATTAAAGCCATTAGCATGTGCTCTTAGTTTAGCGGCTGTGAATTTGAATCCTGAAGAATGTCCAGTCACTGGCCTTGTTCCTGGTTTGTGGTCACATTTTGTAAATTAGGCCCAAATTACAAAGCAGTAGGAGGTAGGGCTGTCCAATTAAAATTAGAATTTTAGGTGTGCATCAGGCAGCCTTATAAGACGATGTAAGAGTCGTTGCATTATAATGCTTTTGTTAGTCTATCCAGTTGAAGCACCTGATGCAGCGCTGCTGCGTTGTTCATTCAAAATATTGCACAAAAAGAGAACAACGATGCGGGGAAGATCTTGTTTATGTCAAAACTGAAACCAAGCCGTTCACACAGAATGCATATTTATCATTTTCTAGAGGGACATCTATCAGCGTTGCACTCGCGTCTCGCACAAGAGAGACGCATGTTTAGAAAGCCATGTAAAATGAATGCAAGTTCAACTTTTAAAAACATGTCTCAAGACTTTATGGCGGGTTTTCCCATCCCACTGCATCTCATAAATTAAATGAAAAAAGTACTCTGTGTGATTGGCTTTTGGCCTATGATGCGGTTTCGTTTATAATTGTTTAAGCAACTTAATTTTATTCCGTTTATAAACATTATGCACTTTCTCCACAGATAATCGTGTTATTTTATTGCTTTGAATAAACATGCATTAGTAACATTTTGCTCGATGCGCCCTCTTGTGGCCTCAGGAGAGAAGCCAAACGCTTTTCTTTACCCTAGCTGAAATTATGCATCTTAAATTCTAATATAATTCTTATATTGATCATATTTAAGTACAAAATTTGAATTGAGTTTTTCAACCCTAGATGTGAGATCAAGGCCCGAAGTCAGTCATCACATCTAAGAAAGTATCCGGATTATTGAAATGTTCCTTTAAACCAATCATTTTATCATCTGACTGTAACGAACACGAGTCACTGTGGATATGTTGTGACTCGCTCACCTTTCTACCGAACATGAGCGTCACTCACCCAAGTCATGGCACAGGCCAGCGATCTGCACACACAGAACATCTTGCTTTGTTATGAGGAGCTCCGGCTGTCTTTCATTGAGAGCCTGCACTAGACATCCGGCCAAATATCCCACCCTGCACCACACAGACACAAAGCAGCACATAAGAAACAGCGACTTTGTAGAAAACATCCATCCCCACTGCTCCACTCGCTTGAATGCATGTTATTCATCGGTGCACTGCATGCCAAAAAATAGAAATAAAAAATACAGGTTATATTTGCTACCCTGCATGTATCTGCAAAAGACTGCTCCAGCTCTTTCTCTCAGAGCTGATGTACGTACCCGACGGAGTGCTCGAAGCGGTTGTGAGAAGCCCCGGGGAACACCAGGTAAGTCCCTCCCAGCTGCTTGATGTGGCGCAGCCGCTGGAACTGAGGCGTGTCTACGAAGCGCAGCAGCAGAGGGTGCAGCTCGATGTGGCCGTGGATCGGGTCGTTCAACACCTGCAGCACAGCATTACACATCACCTTAGCAAAGCTCTGGCGCAAGCATTAGAGATCTTCCCAAAGCTTTAGCATACCTTCATGGACTCATTGGAGACTTGCCAGAGTTTCTGCAGGCAGTGGAGGATTTGCAGGCGTGATCCCAGAGGGCTGAATGAGGAAATACAGAATTAACTGCAAAAATAAACTGGGAACGGACAGCTAATTTTCAAGATGGGCTTGACTGTGGTAGAAGCGCGGTTTCTACTGTAATGAAGTAACACTTACAAAACACCCATCTTCTCCAAATGCGCTTCGGTGAGGAACGGCAGGCCTGGCCCGGTTATGCCATGTTCTGAGAAACAGATAAATAATAAATAAAAAACTTGATCAAATGCATATAAACTAAATGACACTTTCATTAGGAGCCACCTATTGCAATCATTCGTTTTCCGTCATGAACATTTTTTCATGAAAAAGCTTTTTTTTTTTTTTTTACACACGTCAGCGTATCGCTACGAAACTCAGTTTGTGTTTTCAGCATCATGCCCTCATTTACTCAATTTAGTCAAATTATAATTCAATAAGAAAATGCTAGTAGTTTTTGAATATTTCTGCCTATTGTCACGATTACTTGGATCATGCCGAAAGTTTGGCTACATTTGCGATCAGAAGCCAAAAAGGCTAAGTATAATATCTGTGATAGCTAAACATGTTGCAAGAAAAAATGCTAGTAGTTTTTGAATATTTCTGCCTATTGTCACGATTACTTGGATCATGCCGAGAACATCCATATAGGGTTGGGAATCAAAAATCAATTAAGATGCCAGAATTGGATACTTGTTGTCAAATTAAAAATGTATTCCGCCTATCGATTCCTATGTGCTTTTTCTTCTTCATCTGTGAGGACCGGAGCTAGCGATCTGCCAGGACCTTGCTCGCTAATCTAAGTGCTCCAAAGTTTGGCTACATTTGCGATCAGAAGCCAAAAAGGCTAAGTATAATATCTGTGATAGCTAAACATGTTGCAAGAGGTGTCACCACCAACATGACAAAGCTCTTTAATTTAATAGATCGTTAAAGATCGTGAACATGATTCAAACACCAACGTGATTCTGTTCCTAAATTACAGTGATTCGTCTGATTCATTCCTCAAGCTTTGACGCGTGCGATCAATGTTGTGATCACGTGGTTCTTCCGTGCAGCGTACGATCACACCAGTGTGATTTAAACATTTAAATCTGCGTTCACGCTGCGCTGCGCTGACCTGAAGAGAGCAGCTGTCTGTCACGAATGAAACGGCCTCAGTCTTTTCAGCCACACAGTATCATTATTTCTCTTACAAACACTCAAATCACAGGAGTACCGGGATAAAAGTTTATATTCAGATATAAACTGTGTGTACGATGTGTATGGTAGCGATTAAAATAGAATAAATCACCTTTTGAAAGTAATTTGATGCTTCAAATGAAGATTTATGGATTACATTATGCCAGTAGGTGGCGAGAAGGGGCTTTTAAAATGTATTTGTCTTTGAATCATACAAGAGATTCGTTCGTGAACACTGATTCATCCAGTAATGAAACAATTATTTATTTTTTTCCCTGGACTCCTTTTTAATGGTTAAATTAAATTGTATTAAACAAAAAGCATGTTTAATTAATTAAAATCATGAAACTTAAACAATTTAACAATTTTATTAAAAGTTTAACACAAATTACATGTTTAGGGTTCTATGAAATGTTTTATTTTTTCCAACCTTATGTTTTATTGTTACCAAATTCTGTTTTAGCATGTCTTAATTATTTGAAAGCATAAAAACAAGTTTCATTTATTCTTACAATAGCTTTACGATTCTTTCCCCTCAGAAATTCTGTGTTGGGTATTTAAATTTTTTAAGGCAGAAAACATTAATTTAATCAATATTTTAAGTAATGAAAATTAAACATTTTATTTTTTGGAAAATAAAGGGGATTTAATATTACAATTAAAATATTGAAGAAATATTGTATGATTATTCTATATTGTATGATATACTACAGCGTTTCAGTACGAGTAGTACACAAAACCACAGAGACACGCAGAATTCATATTTAAATATGAATCGTTTTGCGGCTTAATATTTACAAATACTAGTGGGAGTGTGGCCACTTGTGCGCGATACAGAGAGAGTGACCATAACGTAGCGACAGAAATGACATGCCGTCGTGTAAATAAGATAAATAACATAAGGCTATTTAGTTTGTTTAATAAAAGAACAAGGTATAGACATGTTCTATAGAAAAAGTAACTTTAAATCACTTCTGTTGTGATCTGGCGCTATAGAGAAAATATAATTAACTTGACCTTCAAGGGGGGCATGGGTGCGGTTGGGGGGGCGGGCTGTCCCCCTAATATAATGGCAGGGAAAACACTGCGGTTGATTTCTGTTCATGGTATTTAGCTCCAATAAATGGTTTGCAAAAAAGAGACACAGGATAAATGTTTGATATCATTATTTAATCACATTGGAATCGAAACTGGGAATCGATAAGAGGAATCGGAATTGATAATTCAAACAACACCCAACCCTACATCCATACCAATTATCCCATAATCTGCTGAACTTCCTTTCCGCCATTTTGATTTTCTTTGAAAACATACTTTTTCGAACTCCTCCGAGACCATTGGTCAAATATTCACCAAATTTGACTCCGATCATCTTCGTACCATGCCAGCAAAAAGTTATGGATTTCAGTTTTCATTTGTGAGCTGACAAACTTCTGTAACTGACACTAAACTTTATGAGTGTCATTGTCACCTCACACTGACCACACCACACCAATTTAATAACAGCGCCACCTATTGCTCTGAAGTAAAAAGCAATTATGTCACATTACAGCTCATTGTCTTGTTTAGCTCCTCATTCTGCCTCTGTTGTGCTTGCTGCTATATTTATAATTATACATACAATAATAATAATAATAATAATAATAATAATATGCAATTACCATGACAACTAGGGTTGGCTACCGAAACCCGGTGCCAATATGGCACTGGTACCTATGTAACTGGTATGTACTAGAACCAAATCAGAACGCAGATTTCGGTGAGATATTTGTCCTGGTTCTCTGAAATGGATGTAAGAAGCATGGGCGTCGCTAGGCCATTTTTAGCGGGGCTATAACGATTAGCTCCATAAACTGTACACAAACTCATGATCGCCTCAGAGTCAGTCCCCTTTAAATTTCATATGAACACGGCGGCAGACCTCGTCTTTCAGCGCGCGCTTCAATCCGCAGACTCACACAGAAACAGAGGACACAAGGTGTGTTTATCCATAGATTGTTATAATATCTGTATCTGTGCAGTTCTTCGTCATAAATACAGTTTACAAAAGGTCACGAGGGAGCAATCCGTTTCCCATCTACACATCACGTGTGCTTTCACATGGAGCAGCATTAACTACACAGAGCCGTTGTTCACTGACAAGCTGTGCAAAACCACGATCATATTTTGCACTTGTTTTGCGCAGCTTGTGATCAAAGAGCCCGCAGCTTCACTTTTCAGGACGTGTGAGGCACACCTGGGTCAGAGAGTTGAAGTGCGTCCCCTGCAGTCCACAGACAGCACTGCGTTTACTCTCACCTCTCCTTGATGATGTGGTCCAGTTTGTACACAGGCTTGTTCTCTTTCATTCTCTTCACTCCGCTCCATTCAGCCTTGCCATATGCTTTCCGCAGTTTCCTCACAAAAATCTACAACCAATGAATGTATAGTTAGCTTATAGATTGTCTTATGAACCATTTCTTCAGTGAAAAACATACCATCAGAATTTAATCTAGGATGCCTAAAGTTTTTTTTTTTTTCTTCGTCTTTCTTAGAGCGTCATGTAGCAAATAATATGTAATCTTTTAATTGCATTATAAGCATTATAATATGATAATCAATATTATTTAATGATAGAACTTTAGTAATAGTAGAATTAAAACTTGATAACCATGTATGAATGCATATTTTTGGTCATTCAGCGTTTCTGTAAAAAAAAAAAATTTTAAATTGGGGAAAAACTAACAAAAATACTGATAAGATAATAATGATACGAATTCTACTAATAAGAACAATATAAAATGCACTAAGGATTAATGAGCTACTGGATTCATGAATATTAATCAGGTTGTGCGCAGCATATTACAATGTTTTCTGGATCATGTGAAAATAATGATGCTGAAAATTCAGCTTTGATCACAGGAATAAATTACATTTTAAAATATATTCAAATAGAAAGCAGTTATTTTAAATAGTAAAAATATTTTTAAATGTTACTGTTTTTGCTGTACTTTGGATCAAATAAACGCAGGCTTGGTGAGCAGAAGAGAATCCTAAGTGCACACACACAGCAGTGAACACACACACGGAGCAGTGGGCAGCCATTTATGCTGCGGTGCCCGGGAAGCAGTTGGGGGTTCGGTGCCTTGCTCAAGGGCACCTCAGTTGTGGTATTGAAGGTGGGAGAGAGCGCTGTACATTCACTTGTACAGTGCTGTACATTCACTCCCCCCACCTACACTCCCTGACGGTACGAGACTCGAACCCGCAACCTTTGGGTTACGAGTCAGACTCTCTAACCATTAGGCCACGACTTAGCGATAACACCAAATTTAACACACCTGCTCCCCATTCACACCCGAGACCTTGTAACACTAATGAGTCACATGACACCGGGGAGAGAAAATGGCTAATTGGGCCCAATTTGGACATTTTCACTTAGGGGTGTACTCACTTTTGTGGCCAGCGGTTTAGACATTAATGGCTGTGTGTGGAGTTATTTTGAGGGGACAGCAAATTTACACTGTTATACAAGCTGTACACTCACTACTTTACATTGTAGCAGAGTGTCATTTCTTCAGTGTTGTCACATGAAAAGATATAATAAAATATTTACAAAAATGTGAGGAGTGTACTCACTTCTGTGAGATACTGTAGATTTATTTTAAATATTATTAATGTTTTTTAATGTTATCAATCGTTTTTTTTTTTTTTTTTTTTAAGTGTCGGTTCAGGCACCGGTATTAAAAAAAAACAATCGATACCCAACCCTAATGACAACGCAGTGTGGCGATAAACAGACAATTAGCTGTTCTTACAGCAGGAATTTCTTATTATTGTTGATATAAATGTTGCAAATAAACAGGAGACTCGGATGTATTTTGAACGGTCAAATGCACAGACAAAGGTGTTCAGATAGCTGTCTTGATGAGTATTCATTACGTGAACATACTCAGATGAGGAAGAACCCGCACATTAGGTCTGCTGCTGTCAGTGTCATTAAAGTGCCTGCAGTGTGTAATGTAGCTGTCTGTGAATATAAATCATCTGCAAAGTTGTAAAGCCTAAAGTGCATGATAAATTAAGTTATTGTCTCCCAAAATAAAGAAAGCCTCTGAAGAGTGAGTGAGGCGAATCTCATCCCCGGGGTCACACATTAGCATAATGCCTGCTATGTTCTACGTTGGCCGGCCGCGAACAACTTGACCAGCACGTGATTTTACTGACGACTGCTTCTCTAAACACTTGCTCTTGAAAGATGAATCAGTACCCAGTTTATCTGGACCAGCTGCTCCACTGAATCACCACCTGCGAGTCTGATGAATAATAGAGCTTTATATTTTCTACTGAGCGTTCAAAATATACAACTATGACAATTGATATTTTTCACGTCACGCTCTTACAGGAACATCCACATGAAGGGCAAAACAAGGCTCTCTTTTCCTTTTTTCTTTGCATTAAATAGTAAGACAATGATATTTAAAGGCCAAATTCACTACACACATTGATGATGCACACTTTCTATAGGAAAGCAGATTAACCCAGAATATAAACGCAATTGTGCAAAGTTTAAAGGGGTCATGTGATGAGATTTCAATTGTTCCTTTCTCTTTGGAGTGTTACAAGCTCTTGGTGCATAAATAAGATCTGTAAAGTTGCAAAGACTAAAGTCTCAAATCCAAAGAGATATTCTTTATAAAAGTTCAGTCAGCCACGCCTACCTAAAATGCCTACGTCACGATGTGGGAAGATTTGCATAACGCCACCCAAATGTTCACGCAAAGAAAGAAGGCGTAACTTTTATTCTCGCTGTAGTATTGTTGTTGCCGCTGCCGCCATGTCCTGAAGACGCTGTGTGTTTCGTTGTGAAAGCGAAACTACTTTGTTTGGTCTTCCAAAAGAGGACGATATCCGCTTTGTCATGCCTAGAGCTGATCCGTGCTGGTCGCTGAGGAAATACATCAACTTTGTGCTGTGGATCACCGGATCGGCTTTCACCGTGGACGAAGCGGAGTCCAGCTCGGGGTCGTCACATGTGGTTGCCGCAAGCCCACCTCTGCTCACTCAAGCCTGCCGTGTGTGGCACTGTGTTTCGTTGTGAAAGTGAAACTACTTTCTTTGGTCTTCCAAAAGAGGACACGACTAGAAATCAGTGGTTAAGTTGCATTTATAACACTGTTCCAGAACACTTCAACCCAAATATTCAGATGTGTCCAGCACATTTTATGGAGGACAGTTTCCTGATCCTGGGAGAGTAGACTACAATGCCGGCTGTTCTGACGCTGACGCACAGACTGCAAGTACGTTTTTTTATATTTAAAGAGTTTTTATATTTAATATTTTTTATATTTAAAGCAAGTTTTTTGGACCGTGTAGAGTAGCGCTTGTTGTTTGTCATTTCTCTGATCACAAATGCAGACATGGTTTTATGTTTACGCGGTGCGATGCAACGCGTAAAAAGACAGTATAAGTCATTATAATTTATAATTATGTCCCCACTGGATGCAACAAATGCCTCGTTTATATTGGGTTTTAATGTTTTTGTCTTGTCGCTCCGGCCGGACAGGGCATCACAGTATGGTGAGGGGCGTATCATTTCCGTCACACGCTTGAGGTATTCGGCCAATCACAACGCACTGTATAGCTGGCCAATCAGAGCACACCTCGCTTTTCAGACCGATGAGCTTTGTAAAAATTGACGCGTTTCAGAAAGGCGAGACGGACGAGACGAGTGAGGCGAGACGGACGAGACGATCGCTGATGATTTAGATTCGAAACTAGATGCAAAAGCACCTGTTTGGCAGTATTTTGGATTTTGAAAAGCCTGTTGACTTTTGCCTTCTATCTAATGTGATTTTGGAAGTTTTTTTTAAACATTCGTTTATTATTTAATTGGTTCCACAGTGTTTGCTATTTTTTACTTTATTTAAACTTTGCGTCATTTATTCATTTTATTTGACATCAAGGTGTATGCCGTGCCTCCAAGCTTTCTTACTCGTTTTGCTAATAAACGTTCTACTTATTTATTTGGTTATATATTATACATGTTTACTTATTTCCAGTTTTGTATACCTATTTAAACTATGTTAGTTAATTGTTATTTTATATTAGGCATAGCCCTATAGCATGGTGTATTTTTATTTGTTTTGTTAATAAAAGTTCTATGTTTTATATATAGGCTAAAGTGAGATTGACGTTGTATTTTGTGGTTGCATTCAAGCAATTGATGCCGAACTGCCGCTAATTCAAAAGTGAAAGTAAAATGCGCACGGCGCTTTTAAGCCATTTAAAAGCGAAGGAAAGCGAGGAAAAGAGGGAAAATTCTAACGAACAAAAAACGAACAATTGCTTTACGCCGAATTGCCGCTATTTGAAAGTGAAAGTGAAATACGCACGGCGCTTTTACAAGCTATTTAAAAGCGAAGGAAAGCGAGGAGAAGAGGGAACGCCCCCACGGTGATACCGGTATTACCGGTGTTGTCACACATCGATTAACCGCACCGTCACAACCCTACAAGTGCGTTCATATTCTGAGCTCATTTGCTTGCCTGTATAAAGCACGCACCATCAATAAGGTGTGTACTGAATTTCATCTTTTAATATCACTGTTTTAAAGGCACTTTTAGTGTTTTCACATTAAACGTTTCAGAATGTCCCGCTGTTTTTAGTGATTGAAATATAGAAAGATATGGATTGCTAATGACCAGAACTTGCATTTTGTTCACATATCTTTATTTTATTCTTTTGAGAGTTGATCTAAATATTTTTGGACAGTCTTGTAATAATGTATTTAATGTCAAAAAATCAATTCCGAGGGCAAATATTGCTTTTTTTAATTTTAATTAAACTTTACAAACAGAACAGACACAGTCAATGTACAGTCTGAGCTGCACTAATACATATAAACTCAGAGCTAATCAAGTAAATATGTTAAAGGACTCGCATATAGAAAGAGTCAACTTATTTCTTGTTATATTGTAGCATCTGTGTGTAATAATACACACTATATATTCTCTTTTTATATGACAAATACTCTGTAACCTCAGTTAACAAGCCATATGAGGATGAAAAATCGTCTTGATATATAACTGAATTTCTTTAAGAACCAATAACAAAATTAAATGTATAATTTAGTATTCTTTTATTTTATTTGCAGGAATATTAGTAAAACCAAATATGACGATCTCTAAGCACAAAGAAAAAGTGGGTCAATATTAGGAATGATAAATCCACATAAATCTTTCCAGAATTTCCTTCCATGAGAGCAGTGCCAAAATAACTCTACATCCTATTACACAGCTCAAGCCTTTGGCCTTGCACATTTAACAAGAACATGCTTTTCTGAGCAGCATCTCTGCCAAATCTGAAAGGTTAGGCTACTTCCGTCACGTTATTTGCCAATAAATATTAGTCTGTTACAGTCCAGATCAGTCTATTCCAATAAACTATGACAATGTGTGCTCTAAATATGTACAGCTCCAGAGGCAAAACAAAGCTTCCCCGCTGAAGTATCAAGTAAATCAAAAGTGGAAGGGGCACAAGATTAATAACCAAATAAATAAAGAACAAGTAATGTAAAAGTGGCCTGCCAGGGTCCGCTTCTTTCACGTGCAGCCCTCTTGGCTCTGTGTGACCAGCTATGGCAAGCCGCCTTCGCTGTTATTCATGAAAGTGAAAGTGAAAAAAGTGAAGTGACATGTGGCCAAGTATGGTGACCCATACTTGGAATTAGTGCTCTGCATTTACCCATCCAAAGTGCACACACACAGCAGTGAACACACACACGGAGCAGTGAACACACACACAGCAGTGAACACACACACAGCAGTGAACACACACACAGCAGTGAACACACACACAAACCGTGAACACACACAAACCGTGAACACACACAAACAGTGAACACACACAAACCGTGCACACACACAAACCGTGAACACACACAAACCGTGAACACACACACGGAGCAGTGGGCAGCCATTTATGCTGCGGCGCCCGGGGAGCAGTTGCGGGTTCGGTGCCTTGCTCAAGGGCCCCTCAGTCGTGGTATTGAAGGTGGGAGAGAGTGCTGTACATTCATTCATTCATCAGCACGATATGAACTCTGGAGCTCAACGATTCAGCTTTTACTAGCTAAAATGCTCATTCTGGATCTCAACAACTGAATCTGAATGGCAGCCTACGGTGAGATGTAACTAGTGTGCATTCAGTTCCTGAAATGGAGAACTCATATCCAGCTAAAAGCGAAGGCGGCTTGCCATGATCTGCTTCTCTGGTTCAGTGTATAGTGTGATATTAATAAACACAAGCATTATTGACATCTAGTCGCTGATTAGCGCGGTACCTCTGAACATCTGCTCCCACCGCTCGAGTCCTTCTCTGCGCAGATAGAAGCCCGTTTCGGCCACGTCCCAGCGCCTGAAGTCCGCAGCACAAGCCTGCTTCTCACGCACAACACCGTCTGCTTCTTCTCGTGGCCGTTTCATTCCTCTCTCCATCCTGAAACACTCCCGCCTGGAAGCCGGTGTGGCGGCTCGCTTCTTCTTCTTCTTCTTCTTGTTTTATGGCGGGTGGCATCCGACGTTAAGGTGCATTACCGCCCCCTACTGGAGTGTGGACCAGAGGGACTAACAGAACTTTATATATAAAAAGATTATAATAATTTTTATAAAAACACTAAAAAAAAACATATAAAATAACGTAATAAAATAACAATTATACTTTATATTCTATTTATTAACCCAGTTTCCCTCAAGAATACAATTAAAGAATTATAATGTGCTGTTTGGCCGAGTAATATTGCATCTAGTCTCTCCCGTGGTGTCCTTCTGAATATTTCTCTTTCTCTAATATGTTTTTGGCAGTGACATAGAACATGTTCTACTGATTCCTGCTCCTGACAATCCTCACGCAGACCTGTGGGATGTTTTCAGATGAGATGTGATGTCTTATTCAGTCTTAACCGTGATATTATATTTTCCTCCTCGCTGCTTCGCCCCGTCATCCGCATCCTTCACACTTCCCTTGTTCCATTTATCTGCCCATTTACTGATGATTTTACTTCTAATTATTGTCTTTATTTCTGCTTTGCTAAATAAAATGTCTTGTATTTTCTTGCTTGATTGCTTCTTTTGCTAATGAATCTGCTGTTTCATTGCCTTTAACGGCCTGTGAGCAGCCAGCCACATAAACGTAACCACTATATTCAAATGATGAAGTCTGAAAAGAGTTTCATATATTTCATTAACTATGTCTTGCCTACCCCGGGATGAAACTGACTGTACCGATAATTGTAAATATTAGTGATTTAGTGGTTTCTACTGAAAACTAAAATCCCCATGAGTATGACCAGTTTTCAACCACATTAATTGCCTCTTGTATCTTTATTTTAATGTGTTCAACATTCCTTCCCCTTTTCCATAATGCTCCATCATCTGCAAATAAAGATGACTAATATCAGGTGGAATGATATCAGGCAGGGATATCATAATATCATAATATCCAGGCAAAGGATAAGTATCGCTTGTTATTTCTCCTCTTTCCTACTACTTGTTTCACTTCTGTTTCAGTTTTTTATAACTGTTTCTTACTATGTGTCAGTAAGTTGTTGTTATTTTAGCATGTGTGTTTGGCTCAGTGTTATTTTTTTAGGATTACTGATAAACTAATGTAGTTTGATTTGTATTAGTTATCTATTTTAGTTTTAGTTACAGTTGTAGTAATGTTGTCATTTTATTAGTTTTTTATTATGTCTATATAGGTTTTTTATTAAGTTTTAGTTTTATTTAATTTGAGTTATTTCAGTACTTCAACATACAAAATGGAAATGAAATAATATATATATATATTGAATGTATATATGTACATGTATGTGTGTGTGTGTGTGGCTGTACATACACATGTGTAGTTGTTCTTTGGTGTTTGGCTTAGTGTTATGTTAGAATCATTATTATACTCTTACCGTTTGTTCTTTTAATATTTTCAATTGTTTTTAGCTTTATTTTTTTGTTTTCATTTAAATGTTTAGTTTTGAAATGTTGTTGTATGCATTTGTCATTTTTATTTAATTTCTTTTATTTTCTTAAATTTTTCATTTTTATTTAATTTCTTTTATTTTCTTAAATGTATAGTATTTTTAGAGTTTTAGCTTTTAGTTTGAATTACTTTTTCTTATTTGTAAGTCGCTTTGGATAAAAGCGTCTGCTAAATGACTAAATGTAAAGTAAAGTAAAAGTAACTTGGGAAAAAACATCATTTATCATGATGGAAAAAAGCAATGGACTAATGACACTCCCCTGAGGGGTCCCGCTATCTGCCAGATACTTCCTGGACAAAGCTGTACCAATTCTAACTCGAATAGATCTGTCAAATAAAAAATCTTTAATCCAATTAAATACTCTTCCTTAAATTCCTGTTTTATATAAATTAATCATCCTGAATCCACTCTGATAAGGTGATAAAAGTTCCTTTGTTTCCAGATAAAATGTCAGTCTTTCAGTAATCATCCTTTCCATTATTTTGACTAAATGCGATGTTAGAGCCATTGGCCTATAGTTGACCGGTTTTGAAGGATCTTTCCCTGGCTTCCTAATAGGAATAAGCACCGCTTCTTTCCAAGCATTAGGAAGTTTTCCCATATCCCACACTTTATTATATAGACCTAGCAGTTTCGAATCTGCTAAAGTATCTAGATGTTTTAACATTATATAGCAGATTCCATCTTCCCCAGGAGATGTTAATCCAGATCTTGCTATTACTCTTCTCATTTCACCCAGGGTAAATGTTACATCCAAAGCATTATTATTCTCATGCCTCCTCTCCAGAACCCCAGGATGAGCTGCTCTAGTCTTCATTGTTCCTCTCTTAGCCTCCTCTGATAAATTATGAGAACTATGTATTTATCATTTATCATGATGGAAAAAAGCAATGGACTAATGACACTACCCTGAGGGGTACCGTTATCTACCAGATACTTCCTGGACAAAGCTGTACCAATTCTAACTCGAATAGATCTGTCAAATAAAAAATCTTTAATCCAATTAAATACTCTTCCTTAAATTCCTGTTTTATTTAAATTAATCATTAGTCCCTCCTTCCAACCCATATCTTATGCTTTCTCAACATCAAAGAAAAGTGCCATAACTGATTCTTTGTTAACCTGTGTCTTCTTGATTTCTGTTTCCAAACATACACCTGGGTCCATTGTTCCTCTCCCTCTCCTGAATCCACTCTGATAAGGTGATAAAAGTTCCTTTGTTTCCAGATAAAATGTCAGTCTTTCAGTAATCATCCTTTCCATTATTTTGACTAAATGCGATGTTAGAGCCATTGGCCTATAGTTGACCGGTTTTGAAGGATCTTTCCCTGGCTTCCTAATAGGAATAAGCACCGCTTCTTTCCAAGCATTAGGAAGTTTTCCCATATCCCACACTTTATTATATAGACCTAGCAGTTTCGAATCTGCTAAAGTATCTAGATGTTTTAACATTATATAGCAGATTCCATCTTCCCCAGGAGATGTTAATCCAGATCTTGCTATTACTCTTCTCATTTCACCCAGGGTAAATGTTACATCCAAAGCATTATTATTCTCATGCCTCCTCTCCAGAACCCCAGGATGAGCTGCTCTAGTCTTCATTTTTCCTCTCTTAGCCTCCTCTGATAAATTATGAGAACTATGTATTTTAACCAGTTCTTTTGCAATCATTTCTGCCTTCTCCTCATCAGAAATGGCTACTTCCTCATCCCTCTTTAATACTGGGTACTGGTATTCCTTTCTAATTCCTCTCATACTCTTGATCATTCCCCAAACATCCACAACCGGTGTTACTCTTCCTATTTTATTACAAAAACTTCACCAACTATGCCTCTTTGCGCTACGTATTGTTTCCCTAACTTTAGCGTGTGCTTTCTTATATACAATAAAATTCGGAAAACTATTGAGTTCTTCTTAATACTCTGAGAGCTTTATTTCTCTCCTTCACTGCTCTAGCACAATCACCTGTCCACCAAGGGACTGCTTTCCTATTTCCAGAAACAACAACAAAAAAATTTAACAAAAAAACAGATAAAGACGAAAAAATAGCCATTGATAATATCTACACAATATGTAGTAGTATAGTATATAGTATCCTAATCAAAATGTAATAAAATTAATGCATGTGTAAATTATGTGATTATGTGCAATGTCTTAGCCACTAGGGATTGTTACACAGGGCTATACAGGCGTCTAGTGGCACTAAATTGTGCAAAATGTATATAATTAGTCAA